CTTCGGATCACTGCTGACTTCCTAGTATTGTAAGACCGATTTTCGGAGTCGCCAGAAAACTGAAACGCCACCTGCAACGAATGTCAGTACAGTCAGTATGTGCCCGAGCCTGTGCCCGAGCCTGTGCCCGAGCCTGTGCCAAACCGAAAGCCCAAACCGAAAGCCCAAGCCGAATCGTCCGTACCAAGTACGTACAAACTGAGTGCAATTTAACTAACCGACCAGTGGATTTACTTTTAGGCCGTACAAGCTGAATGCAATTCCCACACAGAGGAACAGCGCAGACAGCAGTAAGGCATTATATATTCTCAATTCCTCGAAAGCCGCGAGTAACTTGGTCATTGCAGCAACCACGAATAGAATAGAATAGACACCTATTGATACAGATTGATCAAATAACATCGATTTATCGCAATACAATCGCATCATGTGTGTGACACACGCGTGTGTGACACACGATCGTGTGTCTTACCGATATTCAGAAACCAGAACACGAATTGTGAATGATGCAAAACCATAAACCTCGATGTATAATATACCTGGGCCCAGAATAGGGCGATAACCGAGAAGCTTGATAGCATGATAATAGAAGGTACTGTTACGAGTAGATCATACGACCAAGCGGAGACGTAAGCAGTACCCATGATTAGGGATCCCAATGTAAGTAGCCGTGCTGCGCAAGCGCCGAAGAGTAGTAGGAGAAAGCATGACCTGGTCTTCTCTCCACTTAAAGATAAAGAGAAAGTCGAGCTACTTGATCTGGGTCTTATCAGCCACCATGTCTACGAACATTTCCAAGTGTTAGAATGTTCTTCACTTACTTGTTTAACGTTCACCACTATTGTTATAGCAAAACAAACGAACGCCGCTATTGTGGCTCTCTGACTGGCCGCATCCTGCATTTTTTTAAACCACGAGATGCTCCCTTTCCTGGCTACGATAATCCTCGGGGGTTCACTATTGTTTATAACCAGTCCCAAGACCCAGAATATTAATCAGGGGCATACAAGTCATGTTTTCCCGGAGTTTGAAAAGAATGGTATAGAAGCTCCATATAAGCGGTTGATATTCAACGTTTTTGACGCCTTAAGATGGGATTGGCTGGCTCCGCCAGATCGGCCACCACCCCCAACAAGTCCTGCAGGAAATTTCCCTTTCGTAAAGAATCTCACGAACCAATTACCAGAGCATGCCAGGATCTTTAAAGCCTTGTGCGAGGCCCCCACAATGACTGTCCAGAGAATCCAAGCCCTGGTCGGCGGCATCGTGCCAGATCTATTTGACGTTACCAGTGCACTTGCTTCATCTAAATTCCAAGGGGATAGTATCCTACAACAACTCAAAATGCAGGACAGAAAACTCGCCTTTGTCGGAGACGATTCTTGGACCATTCTTTTCCCTGACTTATTCGATTCTGCCTTCGCCGGACACTCGCTAACTACCAACGATGTGGATGTTGTCGACAAACTTGTACACCAGGTTCTTTGGAAAAATTTGTTTCTAGGGAGAGACCAGAGCATAAGTCGAGACCAGAGCATAAGTCGAGACCACAGCATAAGTCGAGACCAGAGCAAAGACGGAGGGACGGAAGGGGGAAAAGGCCCCTTTCCTGAGACCGCCGCGGGCAATGGACAAGTGATTGAAAGTGGGGCGAAAGGTATTTGTCTAAAGGAATGCGGGGTGGACAAGTCGCTGTTGTTACCTTCATTGAGTAGACCGGAGTTTGTGAAAGATTGGTCCATGCTGGTGGCTCACTGGCTAGGAGGGGACTCTATAGGACACACTTACACCATGTATGGTCCGGAAGCGAAAACGAGGTACCGACTGTACGACCAGGTAGTCAGCAATGTGCTTAATATAGTTACCGGATGTGAACTCGGACATGACCCATTCACTAAAGATCTTATCCCCTGTCTAAAGAGCATCCCCAACGACCCATTGTCCACCTTCATGAGCCAAAGGATCCCGAACTGGTCAAACGCCTTGCTGGATGACATAGACACCTCGGACAATGTCAAGAACTTGGTATCCAGACCGGATGCAAACATGGCCGATACCCTGACCTTCTTCTTGGGAGACCACGGCGCCAACGACCACGGGGGCCACGGAGGGGCGAGCAAGCCGGAGGTCGAGGCGGGCTTTCTGATATACAGTCCTCGGCCGCTGCCCTCGGGAATCAAGGACTTCACATACATAGACTCTGAATCCTCTGGCGACCGGGTCTCTGGCGACCGGGTCTCTGGCGACCGGGTCTCTGGCGACGAGATCTCTGGCGACCAGATCTCTGGCGACGAGGTCTCTGGCGACCGGGTCTTTCGACAAATTGACGTACCGGTCACGCTTGCTATGCTGCTAGGAACGAACGTCCCTGCGGCATCACTAGGTTTGCCAATAATTGCCATGATTCCTTTGTTTCCATTCAATGAAACCAAACAGTCATTTGTTTGTGAAGAAGGTAGGGTCGTTACAGAGGGTCTTGTCGGCGACCTTGACTGTCTGCTGACCTTTGGCCTGGACTCAAGTCCGTCTGGTGAAGGCCGTGCTGCTTACCAAAGTATGTATGGAGACCGGAAGGAAGGAGACCGGAAGGAGGTAGACCGCACTCGAGTTAGTAAGCTAACAGTGATGCTACACCTGAGATATTTATTGGAATGGCACAACCGTGTCGTTGAGACTTCCAACACCGAACGAAAAGGTTGCGGGCTTTGGTCAAGGAATGCGTTACTGGATAAATATGAAAGCCAGCTAGAAATAGCGGTGGAATCAAATTCGTGGTTCAATCCAGTAGCGATGGAATTGCTGAGGAGGGAGGGGGGAGGATGGGATTCCGTTGAGTCCCTGGCTTCAGTTAGCTCTGTTTATAATCGTTCGGAGTCTGCTGTTAAAATGTTAGAAAGGACACTGGTAATGAACAGGACACTGGCAATGTTTATACCGGCGGAAAAGATTGTTGTACCGGACGTACAGAGCAGTATCGATTCTATGTATGAGGCAATCGAACTGTCACGAATGTATGTGAGACAGTCATTGACCGATAGCGTGAGAGCCAAGACTACCGCCCTTAAACCCAAAGTCGCTTTTGCCTCTGGTCTTCTACCGCTATTCGTGTGGCTCATGTGGCAAATTGTTTGTTCCGCACTCGGGCGGAATAGTGGTGCATCCGTTGCTATTCATGTCGGGGGAATTTCCCTCCTCCTGTTTTGGTGGTACCGGCCACAGTCCTTGAAGTGGATGATCTGGCCCTATTTGGTTGCCACGATTCTCTTGGACATTAAATGCGACCAAAACGTGGGGTCTGACAAGAAGTCCTCTTTGACCATCGCGCGGGGACAGAGCTGGTGGGGACAGAGCTGGTGGGGACACAGTTGGCGGGGACACAGTTGGCGGGGACACAGTTGGCGGGGACACAGCTGGCGACGATTAGCAGATGGTAACCGGCGGAATGGAGACTTGGTGCTGGAGTACGCGACCTGGATTCCGATATTGCTGATCTTCGTAATTGGCCATCTTAGTCACTCGATAGCCATTTGGAACCTGCCGCTCTTTTACATGACTCTAACGATATTCTACCTACTGATTCTAGGAGTCAAAATTCTAGGAGTCAAAATTCTAAAAACTGTCCCGCAACCGACAAGGATTTCCATCACAGGCCTGCTCTCCGCAAACCGATCCACACTCCATGCAGCCTGCGAGTTAATTTTCTTAACCATTGTGACGAGACTCGTCGACCCAATTGCACAAGATAATGAAGGCCACGTCGAGCATATTGCACCCAGAATTTTCAACGAGACAAGCGTGTTGGCTAATGCGTTATTCTGTGCCATGCTAGCTGGCTGGTGTCTCCTAACTAGCACGACTGGTTCAAGCGACAAAACACAGTCAAGCGCACTTTCGAGCACATGTGACTTTTCCGAGGTCCGCCGAATTCGAAAACCAGCCGCCTTCATACCAGCGTCCTTCATACCAGCGTCCTTCATACCAGCGTCACTTACCCGGGTGCACTGGCGTCTGATTCTGTGGCGTCTAATTCAATGGCACCAACTGGTCATGGCTATGCTGTGTTTCGCATACTTGTCGTGCACGGCCTCGCCGGCAAGGGTAGCTGGCGAGGCTGTAGCTGGCGAGGCTGTAGCTGGCGAGTCGCTGAATGCACTAATTGTCGCATCAGGGAGGCTCGCCAGCCGCATCGTAGGCAGGATGACCTTTGTATGCACCACCGGTTTGACAACGCCAGCAATACTCTTGCTCGCACTCCCACGACTTATGTGGACCCAAATTATCTCTAGCGTAATTTTGACTTGCGTTCTGCCAGCACTCCTCCTCTCTACAAGCACCACCTCGACCAACGCCACCTCGATCAGCGCCGCCACCTCGACCAGCGCCACCGCAACGACCAGAGGTCCGACAAGGTTAGCAACAATCCTGGTCTGGATACCGGCGATATTGAATCCCACCTTTGCAAAAGAGTCTGTGCTCATGTTCTGCGCGACTCACTACGTACTTAATCATGACGCATTTTGCGTCCAGTCACCTGCCACAAACGATACGTGCCAGCCAACGATCCGAGACCCCGATGACCCCGACCCCGATGACGTTGACGATGTTGCGCCCGATGTTGCGCCCGAAAACGCAGTACTCCGGCATCGCACACCTCACGGCATAAACACACTTTCGTCAGAACGATTGGAGCGGCGAACTGGTCGTTACATCAACGAGTGCGAGCAGCAACTGCTGGTGACGTTGCTGGCTATGAATTTGTTTTTCGCCAACGGCTTACGATGCACGTTGGAAGCACTGCCTCTTAAGGCTGGCCTCATCGGCCTGCAGCAATACAACGCGATACTCTCACCGTTCTTCGTCTTCTTAGCCGCCGGCTGGCCCTTTATTCTTGTCATGCTCTCCTCGCCGCCGACCCGACCGCGGACGGTCGTCCTCATTACTACAGTTATGTTCATATTCAACGACCACCTTCAGGTCTGGAACCAGTCCGGCCAAGACCGCCTTAGCATGGTCGTACGCGCACCACACCTCACACGCACATACGACCAATCCCACACCCGCTCAACCACACCCACTCAACCACACACTTCACCGTGATGTCCCCCTCAACCGTAGTCGTGGAGTTATTATGCAGCAAAAGCCTTCTTCGACTACTGGATCGTCGCCGCACTGGCTACTGGCCTGGCACTCAGGCTGGCTAGTACGTGGTGGGCCCACACGGCGCCTCAGCCTTGCTGAGTAACTGCTGCTGAATAACAGCTGCTGCTGAATAACAAACTGTTGCTGAACAACCGACCGCCTTGGGAACAACCGACCGCCTTGGGGCCTTCCATCCCAAGTGGGTGGGCCGTCGCGGTCGGTCATCGGCCACTGGCTCGGTTAGCTAAGGTCCAGAGCTGCAGCTGAGGCGCCTGCGCCAACGCCGCGTCCGAAGCCAGAGACGGCTTGGGAGACTTGGGGGAGTGAGCTGTAGTTTTCGAGGATGTCGTCTAGTTTCTGTATGAGGACTTCGAGACCCATTTTGAGTATTTGGAGGGCTGGCATGGCGCCTGAGCCTTCGACATCGAAGAGAAAGGTATCCAGGATGTGGTCGATCTTGACGAAATCCTTGTAACCATGTGCGGATAGGACTTCTTCGTGGTCTTTATTGAAGACGAAGACGGACGGGTCGCCGACGACGAGATTATATTCTGCTTCCGTTTCATTCCCGAAGACGTAAAAGTCACCGTCCTTGACATCGTCTGCACTTGACCGGGCGACGGGCACTAATCTAAATAGACCCTTTTTGCAGTTTTCCACAAGCGCCTTCTTCACGGACGTAGGAACTTGGCGCTGCATCTCCTGGTTGATGGTTATATGCGGCAGATATCGGAATGTCGCCGTGGCACACGGACTCCACTTCGTATGGATCTTGCCGATGCCTTTGAACGCCAATAACTCCGCCTTGATGGACTGGTTCTGAGTAAGCTTCGCGATTATCAAACCTGCTCCCCCATCCTCCGGCTTCGGCACCAGTGGCGGCGACTGGTTATGACTCAACACGTCAAAATGGGTCACCGTAAAATTCCGGTCTTGAGGACATTGGATATTCAACGAATACTTTGCACTACACTTCGCACACGCGTCACTACACTTACACTCACTCTTATTAACATATTTCCGAATATTCGTTGAATCAATGGGTAAAAGACCCAGACGGTGCGCCAGCATTTCATCTTGCAACACACCCGAGTTTTCTTCTATACTCACCAAGTCTATTGCCATAGTCGGAACCTCGGCTATCTGCAAGACATTGTCAGCCACAAATGTATACAGGTAAGGGTACATAGGTAAGGGTATATAGGTAAGGGTACATAGGTAAGGGTGGCGGGCGGGGAATTCGCACACATGTGTGTGCTTGAAGAATTACCATGACACGTCTGAGAGCATTAGCGAATGACACATCA